AGTTGATGAAGATCCTTATTGCATCGAGCGAGCTTTCTAAAATTGCTCGTGCGATGTTTCCGACAAACAGAGACAAGGCCTAGGACGTGATTGTAAATACACGTGGCGGAAGTTCTGTTTGCCTTGTACCTACCATTAAGATTAAAAAGTATGCATCGTCTGTCGATATAGAAACAGGGTTGCGAGATAAGTAAGGAACCCCAATAAAAGAGAAATCGGCGATAGCCGAAAAACGAATGCGTCACTGGAAAGAACCGATGGGTTACACCCCCAATAAGACATGGGGCTTTAAGAGGGGGCTCACCAATAGAAAACCGCAAAAATCGATAACCGTCTCTAGCTTTCTAGGATAGGCGTAAACCCAAAATCTACCCCTTGGGCAAGAAACATCTCGCCCAATAAGAATTCCCTTAAATAATAATCAGAAACATCCCGCCAACCAGAAATCCCTTAAACGAAAACCAGACACATCCCACACAAAATCCACCCCTTCCATCCTTCGAACCTTCCTATTTAAATCGCGACGTCGCAGGACCCGGGCTCAGAGAAATTTTCTCAGTTCAAGTCCGCATTGCTCGGTTACAATCTAAACCTCATTCGTTTCGAGAAGCTCACATTTAGAGTCACGTTTAGAGTCAGTGCAGCAGATCCGACGGACCAGTCGCCCCAACTCACTCACCGACGAGTCCAACGTCCATTACTGAGAGAAGGCGTACTGAGACTCGTTCGAACTCAAGTCATCAAGTAGTAAGTCCCATAATTTTCTTAATCCTTCCTTTTCCGCGTTATCGCCCCCCTTAAACGGTCTATCGATTGTCGGACCCCGGAAGCTCATTATATATTTGGGGGTCGGTCAGTGTAGGCATCAGGTTCCCAGCGGTCGTTGGCGTTGTCGTGGGCCGGACTTACCTCCCGGCGTCTCGTCGCTGTCGTGGACTCAGCTGGTCCACTGACCTCCCTGAGCTTATGCTCGTGGGTCGGTTAGTGTAGGCATCGAGTTCCCAGCGGTCGTTGGCGTTGTGGTAGGCCTGACTTGGCTCCCGGCGTCTCGTCGCTGTCGTGGGCCCAGCCGTCCACTGACCTCTCTCCCCCTTCTTTAAGCTCGACGATTTCCTTTTGCCCGCTTCCGACCGGATCCGAGAGAGATCGACTAAATAAGTAAATAATTTTAGTGGACCCGAAAGTCCTGGCCCCTCAGGAACCGAACCTCCGTACGATCAGGCGACAGAGAAATCGCCAGAACAAGCGGGCGCGACGGGAGATCGAACTCCCCCGAGAGCAGCTCAACGCCGGTCCTCCGCGACTCGCCATCCCACCGCCCCTACCAACGTTTACAGAAGAACCCGGTTGTTCGAACCAGAATCGTCCCACTAACATCCTGCCCTATCGCCCAGTCGTCCTGCCTTTTTGCCCAATTGTCGAACATCGCCCTATTTGCCGCGTGGCTCCGTTTCGCGTGGTCCCTCCTCGCGTGGTCCCCGTCAACCCCGATCCAGCCCGCTTCCTAGAACCTCCCGATTCTCCCTCCTCTTCCCGAAGTCCGTCTCCAACCTCTTCGACCGCCTCGACTCGATCTCGAGGAATTAGACGATCCAGAGATCGTAATCTTAGAATAAATTTTAATTTTTTTTAATTCTCATATGTTTAACTTCACAATTTACATATACTTTAATTTTAAGCCCGATTTAAATTAATTTACACACGTACATAACACTTACTAAATTCATGTAATCTCACTACTGATTCCGATTGTAATAATAGCGGGCAAGATGTTCATTTTCAAATAAGTTTTTCCTTAAAGATCTTGCCCGATCACCTCCGCACCTATGTAACACCCGCGAGAAATACACACACTCGTTACACATACATCCGACACTCACACTTATAAATGTATTCAATTTTATTTTGCCTAATTCTCATTTATTGTTCACCTAGCTTATATTATTGTAATAAATGTTCATCTTATGTTAAATATTAATTTCAATTTGCATTTATTTATAACTTAAGACCCACTACCATCCACCTCTCGAAATTGCACGAGGTCCGATCCTGAGTTAAAGGGATTAAATTCTCTGACTCGAAAAAGGACCGACGATCGCACCGCTCACGAAAGGCGTCCTAACGTCCTTACAGACGTTGACCCTTTCTGAGTCATAAAAGTGCGTTCGGCTCGCGCCACGCGTCTCCGAGCGCGTACCTGCGAGCGACATTTGTAAGTATCTAGCTGCGTCCTCCCTTCCCCCGACCCCTCTGGCTAGCCTTTTCCTTGCTTCCCAGATTTTCATATCCTAATCCCGGGGTTGGACGTAACAGGCGTAAATAAATTGAAAACTCTTCAAGGTTATTTCGATCAACGTAAAACAATTTTAATTCTTCATACATTAAAAAAATTTTTCGCAATGTGTTTAAACAATTCGAAAAACTGGGATGGAAGACGCAAGATAAGTTATAGCTCATTTGATTCCTTTCTGTTGTGATTGTACGTAGGCACAACAAAGTAATGAATACTCTTGATTCAGAATATAATTATGCCTTTATTCACGAATAATATAATATGTAATATTATGGATTAGGAATGGTTCCGACTAGCTGCGTGTGTCTCGTGGTTCTGACAAGAGACGATCGTATCCGCTCTTGGCCGGTAGTCGCGCCGCGGATGCCATTGTATCGATGTCTCGATTTATCGATGTTCGCACGCATTGCTTATCACTATCGATCGCGCGCGAAACTAAAGTCAACTCCACATAACACCCTCTCTTGTAAAAAAAAATTATTATATGTACTCAGCCAAGTATTTAGGTTTTCTTTTTGGCCTACAAGAACGTCGTGGAGTTTGCTGAATTCGTTCTTCTTCGGGGTGTTGCTCATTTTCTGGAGAAGCGGGAGCATCTTGTATAATAGCGTTATGGGGTTGTTGCATAACTTCCGGTTCGCATGTATCCGGTATATTCCAATAATAATTGTTATTTTGGGCGTTCTCATTACAGGAGTATTTTCTCCTATCTTACGTATTTGATCAGAGTGTCTAATCCAAAAACGACCATCATCCAATTTTATCTTAAAATGCAGTTTTCCCAATTTTTCGCTGATTTTTCCGAATTTCCATTTTCCTTCCGCGGAATAGTTTCTACAAGCTACTTTTTCATTGCATTCAAACGACTTATACGATTTGTCTGAATTTACAATATTTTCTTCTTTCGTCGGACGGATTAAATCTAATCTAGTACTTAGCTGTCTGCCTATAAACATTTCCGCTGGTGATTTACCCGTTAACGCATGTGACATAATTCTGTATTGTAATAATAATTGACTTAAAGCTACATTAACATTTGTTGAATCGCAATTCATGCGACGCAAAGCTTGCTTGAGCGTTTGAACGAATCGCTCTGCTTGACCATTGGTAGCAGGATGATATGGTGCTGTTAGTTTGTGTTGTATACCGTTACATTTTAAGAATTGTTGAAACTCTTGAGAAACAAACGTTCTTCCGTTATCTGTAACTATGATTTGTGGAAGACCAAAAGTAGCGAATATCTGTCTACATTTTTCGATTGTTGTTTTTGCAGTAATATCTGATACAACGTGTACTTCGGGCCATTTTGAAAATGCATCTACTAATATTAGAAACATTTTCCCTAAAAATGGTCCTGCAAAATCAATGTGAACTCGTTGCATTGGAGCTGATGCAGGTTGCCAAATATGCACATCTACCTTTGGTGGATCATTTCTATGTGCATTGCAATTTGCACAATTCTTAGCTATCGCTTCTATGTCTTTGTCTATCCCGAACCACCAACAATACCCTCGGGCTAAATTCTTCATTTTAGCTATTCCAAAATGACCCGTATGTATCTCTTTTAAAACCTGCGAACGCAGTTTTTTAGGTATTACGACTCTATGTCCTCGCATAATAATGTCATCGTGTAAACTAAACTCTGCTTGCTCTAAGTTAAAACGCTTTGATTTATGAATCTGATTTCCTGTTCGCAGTGCTTGTAGTAATTCTCGTAACTCTGTATCATTCTCCGTTTCTTTAGCAATACTAATTGCTGTTATGGGGAGTGTATTAACCGTTTCTATTTGAAACGCGTTTATCACATCCAATGCACATTCTTGATTATCAATTGGAAGTCTAGATAAACAGTCCGCATTGGCGTGATTTTCTGACCTTCTGTAGCAAATCTCGTAATTAAATCCCTGCAAAAATATAGCGTAATGCTGCATACGCATTGCTGAGTAGATAGGTAAACTCGCAATTGGAGAAAATATTTGTATCAACGGTCTATGATCTGTAACTAACGTAAATTTATTTCCGTACAAATATTGAAAGAACTTTTTAATTCCGTAAACTATCGCGTACGCCTCTTTATCAATTTGTGAGTATTTTCGTTGCGTTTCTGAAAATGTTTGTGAGGCAAACTGAATCACGCGTTTTGTTCCATCAGCAAACTTATGCGATAGAACTGCGCCTACCCCATACGGACTAGCGTCTGTGGCTAATATTAATGGCAGCTTTGGGTTAAAATGCACTAACACCCTATCACTTGTAAAAGCTTCCTTCGCTCGACTAAATGCGAATTCACAGTCTTTCGACCAGATAAATGGCGTATCTTTACGTAACAACTTGTTAAGGGGAAGTAAAATTGTACTTAAATTCGGTATGAACCTTCCGTAACAATTAATCATGCCTGTAAATGCTCTAATTTCAGAAACATTTTTCGGTCGCGGCATATGCTTTATCGCTTCCATTTTCTGTTGTTCTTTATGAATCCCGTTCTTATCTATAGTATACCCGCAATAATTAACTTTATCCAAAAAGAAACTTGATTTTTCAAAATTTAAACAAACATTATGCTGAAGTAGTCTATTCAGTACCTTTTCAAGACGATTTAAATGTATTTCATCTGTTTCTCCTGTAATAATAATATCGTCAAATAGTATTCCTACACCTTCTATTCCCTCTAATATATTTTCTATTTCTTTTTGCCATACCGACTTACCTGACGCAAGACCGTACATTAACCTGTTGACTTTGTAAAGTCCCTTGCAAGTACTGATTACTAAAATCTCACGGTCTTCCGGTGCCATCTCTAATTGTAAATAGGCTTGTTCAAGATCCAATTTTGAAAATTTATTTCCGTTTTTGAGCTTAGCAAATATTTCGTCCGTCGTCGGAAAAGGATGGTCATCTACTATTAACTGAGGGTTAACTGTAACTTTGTAGTCACCACAAATTCGAACTCTTCCGTTTTTCTTTAAAATAGGAACTATTGGGGTAGCCCATTTTGATGAAGTTACTTTTTCGATAATCCCGGCTTTCTCCAACAAATCTAACTCTCGTTCTACTAGTTGTACTAATTTAAACGGAACCGGGCGTGCTCGAACGAATACTGGAGTGGCATTAGGTTT